AAAACTACAATCACACATACTTATTTATCAAAATAAATCAAAAATTTTAAACAGCTTTTGTTTTCAATGTATTTTTATAAACAAATAATTTATTTGACAAATTTTTTTCTATTTGCCAGGAAAAAATGTTCTGGCTAAAACCTGCAAGTTCTGGCAAAGAGAAAACAAAATTTATTTCTCAATTTTGTTCTCTTTTACAATTTCTGGTAAAAACCTGCAAACATGACAAGTAAAGGAACAAAGCTAATATAAAATACAAACTGAATTGTTTTTTAGTTTTATTTTTGACATTTAGAAAATATTTTTACAAAAACAAAATACGTGTTGTTTTTGCTTAGTTGTATTTTTTGTAGAATTGGGACTACCTGTAAATGATTATGCCATGGTACAACTTAAAAATTGGGTAAAATTTTGATTTTTGTATTATTTATTTCAATTTTTTTTCGCTCGAATTGGAAGGATTTTAATATAAACAAAAAAACTTGATTTTTCAATATTTTTTCTAAAACTATTTAAAAATTTTCGACTAAAACGAACGCTACCGTACCAGGTCAAAATTTTTCTTTTTAAGGTAGGAAAATTAATATAAATGTAGTAGATTTATATCGATTATTATTATATTGAACAAATTCTACCGTTTTGTAAAAAATATTTTAAAATTTCTAAACAAATAGTTGATTTTTTTTCGAAAATTTACGTCAGTTTTAGGTTTATTATATTGCAAGTCATGCAATTAAGGCCCTTTTTGTAATAAATATTAAATTATAAAGCAATAAATTATTGAAATTAGTTCTGAATGTAACGAAAATTTTAATTAGTAGAATTTTAATCAATGTTTTTACCGTTAAGCATGACATTTTATGACTTAAACATAACCTTACTTAAATGAATTAATCATCTAAAAACGCTTTCGCTAAAACTATGGCCTAGGGGAAAAAATTCTGGAATATTTTATACATAACGATCATAAAACATTTAAATTTAGCAAATCATGTAGTTTTCAAGGTCATTTGATAGATATGTGGAAAAACTTAAATTTTTGTGGAATTACTAAGATTTCGTCTGCGTAACTTTTACGTATTTTAGACTTATAACTAAATGAGGAGATTCATTTATTTTATAAAAAATAACTTCTTAGATTGTAATATGTTAAATAAAACCTAATGTAAAAAATGTACGTTAAAAAATACTGTTTTTAGCGAAAATATCGCCATAAACCTCCTTAAATTGTTAAAAAGAAGCAATTTCTTTGTAAAATTCGTAGGTCTTTGCATAAGTCACCAAAATTTTTCGTGATGAAATTTTTTATTGAACATCTGGGAAGTACAAATCGACACTTTTATTAAAGTTCTGATGTTTCTATATAAATGAAAAATATACAAATGTATATAATTCACAAAAGTTCTCAAAATTGTTAATTTATTTATGTATATGAAGAAAATACCAACAACAAAAAAATAAAATTGTTGTAAATTGTCAAGTCCTTACTTATTTAAAAATTATATGTTCTTCATTCCTTAACAATAATTAAACACAAATTTCTATGCATATTAAGATCACAGTCAATTAATTATTTCCTTTTTAAATTATTTGTTGTAATATTTGCAAATATAAAATTACATCGAATATTTTTTATTCAAATAACTTGTACTTGTACACATAATTTATGAAGAAGTATATAATAAATTTTAGATCTAAATATTTTATGTTATTTTAACAAAAATGATGTACCTTATAATTCTTTCGAGGTGTGTATGTATATTAACAAGACGATTTTTGAGCTTCTTAATAGTTTTAAGTTAAGAAGTTTTTCTTCCTTGTATGGCATTATTGTAATGGTTAGGTTAGGTTGATAGGAGGATGTATATTACATCAAATCCGAAGAAATACACCTAGGCCACTATCGGGTCTGTGCGCTCCTTATCATGAAAAAAAGGGAACTGAATGAATTATTTTTCAGTGTTCAGAAACGCACTTTCCTGTACGTAATTCCTAAGAATCTTCCAATCAGTGTTAATCAGGAATGTTATTTCCGGAATAACATCACTTCCAAGATACTTAGATCTAAATTCGACGAATGCCTGACAGTGGCAAAGAATGTGCTCCAGAGTTTCACTGTCCTCTCCACATGATCTACATTCGTCTGAATCCGCACGTCCAATTTTGCATAAATGTGCTCTTAATCCTCTGTGTCCACTGAGAATACGTACCATCATACTAACTTCAGACTTGCTCATTTTGAGGAGATTTTTCGTCTTGCTCTCATCAGGGTCACCCCATAGGATCTTCGTGGTTCTACCCTCTGTTTCATTATTCCAAGAGACCTTATGGGATTCTCTCACCCATATTTTTAGTTCAGCTTTTGTTGCGTCGAATGGTTTTTCGTTTGTCAGGTTAACTGCCTCGAGCTCCCCTCCCTTTAAAGCTATTACATTCGCCCTTTCGTTGCCGACAACTCCCGAGTGGGCTGGTACCCATATGATGTGAACCTTACGTCTGGGAGAGTGGTCAGTTAAAGCTTTCTTACAATCCAATACGGTCTTAGATTTAGTTCTATCACCTGATATCGCCCTAATTGCCTTCTGGCTGTCGGTAAATATCACTATGCAACAAATTGAGGGTCATGAGACCGTGAAAAATTCCCATGATAACTTAAAGTACTAGGTTAGAGTATTAAAGCCCCCAAACCGTTCGGCGTTGGTAGGTCAAACTTTTATGTTATCGGTCACTGAAAGTTGCGCTTTTTAACACAAAGTTTATTAAAACTTTACAAATACTTTCAGAATTCACTTCAAAAACATATGTTTTGTTTTGCTATCTGCAGAACAACTTTGCAAGGAATATATCAGATTTCGGACCACAAATATTGATTTTTAATGGGCATTCGAGTCCATTTTGTAAACACTTGTTATGCAAAGATATAAATGTTTATTGGAGTAGGACAACAGTGGTATCATTTAAAAGGTCTTTCGAAAGCGCATTAGTAAATGTAAAAATCTCCAATATTCATAACGCAGCTTCCGTAAAATTATAAAATATTAATAAAAGATTTAATTTTTTCGAACAGTATACGGATTATTTTGACAAATTATTCAAATTTTATTTAATTTCTATGTGATTAAATGAATCTTGTATTTTATTATTTTTTATATTCGCGTCTTTGTCCATTCTTTTACAGTCTCAAAATTTATATCAAAAATATTTAATATAGGTATCAAACTTTTACATTTGTCATTGATATTTCTAAAACGTGCAATTATTTTCAAATTAACCTTCTTATACCAAATGTGCAAAAAATCAAAAATTTTATTTTTAAAAAAAAATATAGTTTAAATTTAAAAAAAAACATGTTTTAAGTATTTAAATATATTCCGCATTTAACTTATACACATTAAACAGCGCATTTCGCAGAAAAATTTTTAATTTAGCCATTTAGTTAGCCGTTTAAATACCATTTTTTCAATTTTCCAAAAAAATATGCGTTTATTCGGAAACCGCGAAAATTTCGAAATGAATGTTCTTGATTTACATATTATTCAATGGCACTTCGAAGGAGCTTTCATATGATACCCCATTCGTTAATAGTTTCTATTAATTAAAGTTAAAAATCCCGTTAACCCACTATGAACTTTCAATTAGCGATAGCGTAAAAGTTTGACCTAGCAGCGAAAAATGCTTCGGGGTTTGAATACACTAATGGCATACTTTCATTTTGTGAAGGAATTTTTCGCCCCCTAAAAATAGTGTTGCATAGTGTATATTAAGCGATGTGGGCGCCATATTTATTCTAATCCAATTTACACATTCCGTTATTGCTCGTACTTCTGCCTGGAAGCTTGTGTTATGATTTGGTAAACGGTGGTATATTTCTGTTTCTGGGTCTTCAATATAGAACCCCAGATGTTCCGCTTGACCAAGACATTGTATCTGGGATCAGCGTTTCAAAGTTTCCGACATATTCTGTGTCTGATATAAAATCAGGCACGTCCGATGATTATGTATAACCTTCCAATGTGTCCAGTACACATTGATGACGTGTCCTATAACCCCTTTTGGCCAGTTCGCCTAAAGTAAAGAGCCGTTCGGCTGTAAGTGCCGCCTCATATCTTAAATATGTTTCAATGGGTGGAATATCTAGCAATGTTTCCAGAACCTTGGTTGAAGTAGTACACATGGCACCACTTATACCCAAGCAGCATGTAACAAAATGGCACTCTGTGGTATACCGCGAAATACCTTTTTCCTGATAGTTATATCGTACATCTCGCAGCTTATCCATCTCTTCCTTAACATGTGGTTGATCCAATTACGGAGCACCCGGTCAACATAAAACTGGTCTAGGGATTGGATAAGAGTAACAGTGTGCACGTTATTGAAGGCGCCTTCGATGTCAATGCATACCGCCAGTGTATACAGTTTGCTATCAAAGGATGCACCTATGTAGTGGACAACTTCGTTTAAAGTCTTGGTCCTTGTCGGGTATACTGCTTTTCACCATACTATCAACTATCCGTTCCAAAGTTTTAAGTAGGAAGGACGTAAGACTTATCGGTCGATAGGACTTAGGTGTCGCATAGCTAGCTTTTCCTGGTTTGGGTATAAATATTACCCTTGCATCCTGCCATTTAACTGGGTATATGTTAATTTCAAGCATGCAGTGAATATTTGTGACATATGTACGGAAACCAGTCCCGCCTCCATCTGCAAAAGTGCCGGGAAAATGCCATCCGTCCCTGCAGCTTTATAGGGAGCAAAGCTCTTGATTGCTCCTTTAATTATTTTAATACTTACAACCATAGTTGACATTGTCCATTGGATATTTTATGTATAAAAATAGCAAAAATGGAATTATTTAAGAGCAGAATATATGCACCCAATTTTAAAAAAATCGAAGAAGTTAATATTTTAAAACAGCCCTTTTTGGTCGATAAATTTTGAAATGACTCTATATTGAATACTTGGATTGATGCAAAATAAATAAATTAAATATTACTCGACCATCAATATTTTTTATTAAAAAATATATAATTACTATTATTTTAACAATAAACATGATTTTGAATAAACGCAAATAATACCCCATTTACACTTACATTGCAATTCCGTTTGAATGAGATTTCAAAAAAATATGAGCACAATAACTGATCATTGTTAAATTCCATACATATGTATATACATAGTTCTAAGTTTTATAATGACAAATTTTTCAGAAAATAACACAATGGTCAAAACCTAACTAATATATCGTCGCTTTGGGTGAACTGTAAACAGGGTTTAAAATTTTCTAGTTCATAATTTATGTATATTAATTTAAGATTATTTTAATTGTAATTTTATTTCTTGCCGCTTTATGTTACAATAAACAACTGTATTGTAATTAAAATCTTGTACACTTTATTAACATTTACATAAACTAAACATTATAAAAAATATTGATGTAGTTTGTATCAAAAATCTTATTCAAAATCTCATTCAAACTAGATCTGTGCTATTTGTAAATGAAATTGTAAAATTAATAAAATAAATACGAAATTTAAGTTTGTTGAAAGTTTTTACTATCCCCACTTAATTTTAAATCGAACGCTTCAAGATTAGCTAGTGGATCAAGATCGGCAAAAAGTTCTATCCAAGGATTTGTTTTCATGTTTTTTATAGGTTTTCTCTTCTCGTTCGAACAAACTTGGGATGATCGTAAAGAAACATCTTTTTCTAAACATTTACTTTCCATGAGTGCTGAATCTCCTGTGTCAGAGTTCATTGGTAATAGTGGTGTCTGTTCTGTTGATACCGATACTTTTGCGTTCAATATTTTTGAAAGTAACTCTGTCGTTTCGCTAAATGTGCTAGGTTCCCGAGCAGATTCGTTTAGATTTTGATCATACAAGTCCATAATATTTTCATTTTCAGAATGATTGCATAATTCAACTAATGTATCATCTGGTAATTCAATAATATTATCCCCTTTTGACTGATTGTCATTGACATTTGATTCGTTATTGTCGACGAAATCATCCTGTAATTAAAATTTTTTGAAAAACATTATTAAAATTTAGGTAAAAAAAGCATACAATTACTGATTTAGTGCAGATTATTGGCCTCAACATTACAAAATATTTTCAAACATATATTAAAGATTTACTCCGATTTATTTATTTTTATGGTAACGATATATTGACACTTTTTATATAAAAATTATTTTAACCATCAGATTATCTACCGGTTAAACGATAACCGAAAGTTGAGATAATGGGCCTTATTACAATTATCTCAATGACTGGTTATATTTTATCGGAAATTTAAATTGACAGTTTGCATACAAAAATTATTTTAGCCGTCAGAATATCTATCAGTTAAACGGTTAAACGAAGGTGCCGTGCCTTAATATAATAGCTTTTAAATATGCGCTAACTTATAAAATTTTACGGTAAATTAAACTAATTACTTGCACAGTAAGCACTTTAAACTAGGGATGCCAATCGGGACTGGCTTTAACATATCCCGGTATTCGGAATCTAAAAATTGTAACCCCCGGGATATTTCGGAATACCGGGATTTTTCAGGAATAATGAAATTATTTTATATATGAAAATCTTTAAACTTTCTTATAATAAAAATCTTAACGTTTGTAAAGAAATTAAAACAAGGTAGTTGTTTTAATTACTGGCTTGTTTTAATTTAAATTTTTACATTAAAACTTTTACAATTTCATAATTTCTCAATTCTGCAACTGATATTTTTTAACTATACATACCCTGCAAACATTTGGAAAATATTGTCCATTGAAAATATGAAAGTAATAACTTAGTTTTATCATTTAGATAAAAATCATCAAAGAAATATTTGTTTAATATCAAAATTTTATTTATTTAAAATAAAATTCAGCAGTAAACAAAAAAGTGTATTGTACCTCTATATTATCATACGAAAGTTGTTATTAAAAATAACAATTTTGTAAAAATTGTTCAAATGTTTACTATAATCTTTAAACTAGTCAAGAAATCCATGTCGTGGACATTTATACATTGATAAAGTATGTTTATGTTTAGTATTATTTTACAATAATATATGTATATAGGTATAGGTCGGGGGATCTCTCCGAACCAACGTGGGATAACCTGGTAATTTGAGTTTTTTTAAATACTCGCCAACAAACTTTAAGAGTAAAAAAAAAAATACAATAAAGAATTGGACATTATTTTTTACTTTTCAGTTCTTGAAATTTTAAGTTACAATACATTTATTGCGGTTTGAAGTAATACCCAGTTCATATGATGCAGTTATTCGTCATTCACACTCTCATTCATCATTCAACCCCCAATTACATGATTGGCCATACAAAATTTCAGCTGCGAATTACACAAGCTGTACGTAATTCAGTTTGAATTACGTACGAATTACGAATGAATGAGTGTCATCTCTAATTTTTATCGGGTATTTTCATAATCAGATGTTTGTTTTCATTAGTTTGAGACAAATAAAAGATAAAATTACAAAAAAAAAATGCAAATAAATAGAAAATATATACACTACACTATGCTATATTCTTTCAGCGAAAAATCTGTTAAATGATTATTGAATATGGATTTTTTCTCAAAATAATTTAGTTAATATACAATGCTACAAAAATTACAATAAAACAAAATCATTCTACCTAAAATTTTTCTGTATAACATCTAAAACTAAAGTAAATTCAATTTTTTGTCGGACAAAATAAAGTATAAATTTTATATATCATTAATTAAATTTCTTGTATATCAAAAATTTTTTATCTATTTTGGTTCTGATTTGAATATTTGGATCTACTTAAGCCATTTTTTTTAATTTTTTTTACCATTTTTACCATTATTATTGTGGCCTCCGGTAGGTTAGTGGTTAGTGTTCTAGTCTGGTAGACCGGAGGTGGTGGGTTCGATTCCCACCTGAGGCACTGGTTAAGGAGCGCACAACAGGCCCGATAGAGGCCTAGGTGTATTTCTTAGGATTTGATTTGACTAACTAACTACCATTATTATTCGCAATCACCTTCCGTTCCCCTTGCTTTCCCCCCTATACGATTATTTTCAAAAGAAATCCGTTTTTGTTCGCTATTTTAGCGGAATTTTTTGATTAATTGTGGTCAAAAATTAATATATTGGATTTAGGGCGATGCTCTGAGCAGGTCATTACAATTATTCAGTGTTTTTTTCTTACAATAATGTTTTTAACCTTTGTCGTGTGTTTGAAGTCATGAATCTGTTGAGGCATTAAGTATCCCAAACCCATTTTTACGGCATTTATTTTAAAATTTTTATTTTCACTAAGATTTCCGCTTCTAAAGATGAATAATGTACCAATACCGATAGCCCTCCACTATAATGTTTAAAACCTGGGGTATTGTTTTGTATATTGAAGGGCTAAGCTCACACTAATTGTCGACATTTAAAATTTTTCGGTACAAATTGGGACTCATCTAACCAACTACAAAAATTTGAGCTAAAAAATACAAAATTAAATACTAAAATCCAAAAAAAAAATGGGCCATGCTTTTAAATATGTTGGTGAAAGATTGAAGATATGGGTCAGTTGACTCTTCTTATGTGTCCAATTTTTAACGTTAGGTATGGGGAACCTAAGGGAAATTTATTCAAAATACTCCAGTGAACACTATGTGAGCATATTACAGTCAAATCTTAAGATCAGTGCCTTCGAAATGGACTTGGGCAACTTTATATCTCAGCAAGATAATAAGCTTAAGCACTTGATAAATTTAAAAAATAACATTACTGTAGGAAAGAACACTGAAAAATTGGAATAAGTTGCTCAGAGCACCGCCCAAAATCCATTAGATTAATTTTGGACCACAATTGATCAAAAACTTCCGATGAAATAGTAATAAAAACGGATTTCCTTTGAAAATAATCATATGGGGAAAGCAAGGGGAAGGCAAGGCGATTGCGGAAAACAATGGGGAAAAAATTACCAAAATGGCTTAAGTAGATCCAGATATTCAAATCAGAAACAAAAAAGATAAAAATTTTGATATACAAGAAATTTAAATAATGATATATAAAATTTACACTTTATTTTGTCCGACAAAAAAGTGAATTTACTTTAAGATGATATACAGAAAAATTTTAAGTACAATAATTTAGTTTTATTGTTATTTTTGTAGCATTGTATATTAACTAAATGATTTTGAAAAAATTTTCCATATTCAATAATCATTTATTTATTCTTTCGCTGAAAGAATATAGCATGAGTGCTTTTGCACTTTATTTTGTCCGATAGTGTAACTTAATTTGTTAAAATAATGTACCAAACGTATTTTTATATCATACACATACACTAATATTCCAAAAAATTACAAAATAATGAATAAAAAAAACAACATGGCGATGAACTGTCAAAACGAATTACGAATGTGTCGTAGAAACGGGTTAATTGGCTATCGTCATTCAGAGGCCGAATTAAGTAATTCAACTGCTCGTGTGAACTTGGTATAAGTCTTTGGGAAGTATAGTGTAGTTTTTGAATATTTAATTATAAGATTATCTGAAGATATCTTCTTATTTTCACCCTGCTGATTATCTAGCAATTGTTTTTTCTTTGCTTCTAGGAGTATTGCTTAAAAGCAGAGACAGTAATTGTTATCATTATTATTTAAAAAAATTAAATTTAAAAATTTTATTTGATTTATATTTGATTTCTCAGAAAATACAAATTGCTTTTGATTTGTATTTTTTATATTTTCCGTAAAAATTACTGAAAACTTTTTTAAATAAAAATCAATAATAACAAGTAAGAGTGTTATATTCGGCTATGCCGAATCTTATATACCCACCATCAAACCTCGTTTGAATCTTGTATTTTTAGGCCAGTTATAAGCGTTAAAGTAATTTTCTGAAGGGGACCTTATATAGGGATGTAGGTCGTATTAAATTTATTTGTGTCGAATTTCATCGATACACTCGTATTTTTAAGCCATCAATGAGCGTTGCAGTCATTTTCTGAAGGGGACCTTATATGGAGGGTAGGGTCAATCATGGACCGATCAACATACATTTTTTTAGATAGATTTTGTTATGGCTGTTAAAGCTGCTTTTCGAGGGGCCACTTGTATGGGGGCTATCCGAAAACGTGGACCGATATTGCCCATTTTCAATACCAAACAGACCTTACTTATAAACAGGGTAGGTAAAAATATCGCTCGCGATCGCTATTTTATTTATATCGCTCGTTTTAAAATTCAAAATCGCGAGTTTTATTTTACAACACGCGAGCACAATCTTAATTAGAGTTTTATGTGTTTTGTATTCGCTTCGTAAGCGATATTTACATGTTTTTGTTTTTTCAACTCGCTTACGAGCGAGTGGAAAACGAGTTGAATTCGAGTTAAATTCGAGCCGAAAATCAGCAAAGTGTGTGTGCAAGAAACAGTTTCTGTTGTGGTAGTAAAAAAGAACCAATAATAAGGTTATGAAGATAATAAAACACATGTTGAATGATGTATGTATGTATGTATGTGTGTATGTATGTATGTATGTATGTATGTATGTATGTATGTATGTATGTATGTATGTATGTATGTATGTATGTATGTATGTATGTATGTATGTATGTATGTATGTATGTATGTATGTATGTATGTATGTATGTATGTATGTATGTATGTATGTATGTATGTATGTATGTATGTATGTATGTATGTATGTATGTATGTATGTATGTATGTATGTATGTATGTATGTATGTATGTATGTATGTATGTATGTATGTATGTATGTATGTATGTATGTATGTATGTATGTATGTATGTATGTATGTATGTATGTATGTATGTATGTATGTATGTATGTATGTATGTATGTATGTATGTATGTATGTATGTATGTATGTATGTATGTATGTATATGTATGTATGTATGTATGTATGTATGTATGTATGTATGTATGTATGTATGTATGTATGTATGTATGTATGTATGTATGTATGTATGTATGTATGTATGTATGTATGTATGTATGTATGTATGT